GGCCAGCCGATGCGGCCGTGATGAGGAGGAGAGCGGTGGCTATGAAAGTGGAGAATGAAACTTTGGCCATCGTTTGGTTTGTTTGTGTGATATTTTTTGGGGTTGTCTCCCAGGTTTATATAGAAGTTTTGGTCATATTTGGAGATTTTTATTAATATTAATTTATTTATTTTTAATCGGTGGGAAAACTCTTTTTACAATATAATTATTTTAATTGTGTATTGGTGTGCTACTTGAATAATGGTAGCGATTACCTTTGCTAAATGTCTTGTAAAAGATAGAGAGGTCCCTAAGGAACACAGTTTTTTAGGTTTAGCTTAATAGTATGGAAAATTTAACATGATAACGAATTATTATGAATTATATTGAAACGGAAAATATAGAATTATTTTAATATTTTTCTAATGCATGATTAGGTTGATTTTATTAATCGTATTAGTGATTGCATAAAATCAATACTAATACTTGCAATTTTTTGTTGGTTTTGCATCTAATGCTATATAATATGATGACATATACATTTCTTCGCTGATATAAAAAATAATCAAGATTTTGAATCTCAATCTATCCGAAATTAAGAACAATAACTATTAAAAAAATATAATATTAAAACCAAGAGCGTGATTTAAAATGTGTGAATACATAGTAGAATAATTGAGAGTAGGGATGAACCCACATTGTATATGCGAAAAAATAGAATATTTGGATCTGTATCCAAAAAATACGTGTATAAAAAAAACAACAAAAGTATATATGTGATTTAGGATAACGATCCATTCGGATGAAAATATGAAAGACTAAGTTGGCAAATGATCAAGAAAAACAAGTTTAATGTTCACAAAAATGTGAGAAATTAGAAGTTGATTAACCCAAAACAATGGTATTTTTGTTTTTTGTAATCAGAACGTATATGGAGTCTTGAACTCAACTAATTCTTTAAAATTCAAAATCAATCTTTAATCACGCAATTAATTATATATTTTCCCGTTTTATGGAATCGAACAAGAGACTTTGCAGATAAACGTACAAGTGACATCCCCAACCACTTTACACATATTATCATTCGACCATCATGAGTCAAAACAATGATAAATTTAAAAATATCGTAAATATGGGGATATAATTGTCTATATAAAAATATTCGAATACTTATGAGTATCCAAATTTTAAAATTATGTTACATAGATTTGGATTCAGATTTGTAGATATTTACGGATTAGAATTTGAATGACTATGTCAGGTATCTATATATAATATATGATTCTATGAATACCCGATTTTCGCATAATTTTGCTCCTGGGAGTGGCAAATATGTAATTTGGTGATATTAATGTGGAAGACTTTGGCTTCGTTGCCTTGACTTATAAAAGTCGTGACTGCTAGTCAAGACTCAAGCGTCTGTTGGAAAGCACTCAATGAGTTGAACCAAAATATTAAAATACAGTTAATGTGCCATAACGAATCTCACGACGACTCAACATATAAAATATCTTTATTTTTATTTTTAATTTAAATGTTGTGGAGGTGGGTGAATAATCACTGCTTCGGATATTCGCCTTCCCATTAATTGAATATATTGAAAAGTATTTTTAAACCGAATAGCATATAACTATATTTGAATTCTATTAAATTTATAATTCAATGGGATTAATTTTAAACAAAATAAATATCAAGATGGAATTCTAATCAAATGAAAAAAAAAAGGAAAAAATAGATATTTAAATGAAAAAACTGGACATAAACTAAATCCTAATAAAATTAGTCGAAATGGTATTTTTAAAATAATAAAAATGATAAGATTATTGAATTGAAATTAGGAGAAATGTCAGAGTAATGATAATAGTCTCCAAATTTTTTTTAATTTTTTTTTTGCTTTTGCTGTTTATAATTTGTGTCAAAGTCACAAAGGATATATAATGTGGGAATAGGAAAACTAAGAAAAATCAATATGGTTCCGAGAAAATATTGTAAACACCCATTTATTCCAACGTTTTATGGCTGGCAAAGAAAAAATAAAAGAGAGTGGGACTGAAATTCTAGACTAGTTCATTTTCCAAAATCTATCATTTATTATTTGGAAAATTTCTTACACAATATTATTACATATACCATTAATTTGAACATATATATATTACGTTTTAACCCATGCATAAATAATTTTTTTATTTTAAAAAATTCTATTTCTAGGTTTGTGATATGCGCACGTTCCTTCAGTTCTTTTATTCTTAACACTTTAAACAAAATATATTTCAAAGTACTTGAAATTTCTTATGTGTATAAAAAAATATAAAATACAGTAACAATATCTGAATACATATATATTCGAATATGCTAATTATATTTTCTGAAAAAAATCTTTATAAGTTTTTCTACTATTTTTCCTAATTTATTTTATTATTTTTTAAATTGTTTTAACATTTTTGTCCTAAGTTATTAAGTATAAAGTTTCTCAATTTTCCTAACTCAGAAAATAAAAGATATCTTGAAAATTGGTTATCTAAAAATATTCAAATAATATATGGATAAGAAGAAACATTGGAATATGCTCCGGCATGGACTGGAATCGAGTGAAACATTTAGTGGTCCATATCCAGGCCCAACAAGGGCCCACATCTCGACCCATACCAGTGAGCTCCAACACTCGTTTGGAATCTACCGAGTAACTATTATAGTCACCACGTGTTTCAGGCATTACTGTACTTAATTACAGCGATTTATGTAAGTTCATGGGCACAAAATGACTTTGTAATTGGTTCCGGTAGGGCACGTGCTGGGTGGATCGTCCTTGGGATAGCTGTAGGCATCGGGACAACGTTGTTTGAAGAACCGCGAGAGATCGGTGGGCCCACAGTTGCCCGAATTGCAACAGTGCTCTTCTGTCTTCAACATCGGACATGCCCCTTTACATGCGTTGCTCATCCTTAACTGTGCAGGGCATTCTCCAATAATATTTCCTACGCACCTGAAAAAAAAGATATCAAATATAGGAATTAAAAAAAACTATATATTGAGAGAGACAAAACTATCAAAAAACATAATTTAATTTAAGGTAAAATCCTATAAAAAAAACTACATAAACTTTATAAAATGTGTAAAAAATATATATATATATATATACAACTTTTAAAATCGAATACAGTTTTCTACACGAATTGAGATATTGAAATATTGCTACCGTTTAAGAGTTGAGGTTTCTTTTTATACATTTCAACATTTGATATATTTATTTGTTAGACTAAAAGTTCGTGTGTGGTTTTATACATTTGATAAAATTCGTATATTTTTATGGGATTATTATAGTTACTTGATGACTCGGCTGCACTGTGGAGAATTTGAACTGAACTCCATGGGGAGATTAAACCCATCGATCACGGAGATATCGATGAAATCTCGGTTGGAAAATCCACAGAGCGTCGGGTGCTTGTGTCCATAAGACGTGCACTCGAGAGCACCGTTGCCGACCCCAAATGCCAGCTTGGGTGGTGCCTGGATCGGCCGTCATGGTCCACGTCTCTCCCAGTCATAGACGCCTCCCGCTGGGCGGCTTGCCCGGTGCTAACGACGCTGCCCATACTGGCTGTTGACAAATGTTTCTCACCTCGAATGTGGACATAATCACGAAGTTTAGGGTCACAAATGCAAATACGAAAAAGATCGTTGGGGTAGATTTGAGAGAATCCATTTTTTGTGGTTTGAGAATCCAAGCGAATGCTTAAAGTGTCGTTCGCTTTGGTGCTTTTATATATGTGTAATCACAGGGGTAATAACGTAATTCTTTGCATGAAATTGATATCGTTGAAAATTATAGTTGCAATTCCCAGGGGTAATAACGTCATTCTCAGCATGGAAATGATAGCTTTTGCTTGACTTGGAAAACGAAGACTAGGACAAGTCTCAGTCGAGAGCTATGGAATTTTCCGACTAAGTTAGGCAGCTCAGAGTGTCATGTTCCGGATTTATGCGAAGATAAAAAGCAATTGGAAATTACAGTCATTTTTCGGGCCTATACAATGAAACCCATCCGGGTTTGGGTTCCGATTGGATCGAATCGGATCAATTAGCCAAATCTTCTTTCTAAATATTTTTATTTATCTTTGACAAAAAAAATATTTATTTATTTATTTATTAAATTTAGAAAAAAACAATCAGATTTATCCGAAAGTCCAATTTTTTTTTTAATAAATAAATTTTAGAGGTGTCAATCGGACCGACCCGATCTGATCCGATCCGAACTCGCATTTGGCCTGAAAATTTTGGATTCGGATTCGGACCGAGCCGAACTTCGAGCTTCGAGTCCAAATTGACACCGCTAATAAATTTATATATAAAATTCGATATTTTTTCGATGGATTCGAGACTAATTTAGGTTTTTAGATCAAAATTAGCACATCTGATTCTGCTAGGGGTGGGCATTCGGTTCGGGTATTTCGGTTATTAACCGAATCGACCGATATATACCCGAATCAAACCGAACCGAATAAAATAAAATAACCATTTGGTTAAATTTTTTTAAAACCCGAAATAACCGAAACCGAACCGAACCGAACCGATTAAAAATTATTAACCGTTTGGTTATAAATTTTTATAAACCGAATTAACCGAACCCGAACAGAACCGAATCGAACCGTTTATATATCTTCATATATATATATTTATATACATATATGATTGTTTATATTCTTGATTTAATCATTTATCATTGTTATTATTGTTTTTAAAGTCAATCTTTATTTATTTAATAGTTTTATATCAAAATATAAATTTAGATATTCTTATTTTATATGTTAAAATAATTATGAAAAATATTTTATATTATATTTTATTTGAATATTTTTAATTATAAATAAATTGATTTTTTAAATATTATCGAAATAACCGAAACCGAACCGAACCGAACCGATTAAAAATTATTAACCGTTTGGTTATAAATTTTTATAAACCGAATTAACCGAACCCGAACAGAACCGAATCGAACCGTTTATATATCTTCATATATATATATTTATATACATATATGATTGTTTATATTCTTGATTTAATCATTTATCATTGTTATTATTGTTTTTAAAGTCAATCTTTATTTATTTAATAGTTTTATATCAAAATATAAATTTAGATATTCTTATTTTATATGTTAAAATAATTATGAAAAATATTTTATATTATATTTTATTTGAATATTTTTAATTATAAATAAATTGATTTTTTAAATATTATAACCGAAACGAACCGAATCTTTATTTGGTTATAGTTTGGTTATAGTTTTAAATAGATAAAACCGAGCCGAACCGAACCGAAACCGAACCGAACCGAATAAAATTAATTAACCGTTTGGTTATGAATTTTAATAACCCGAAATAACCGAACCCAAAATAACCGTAACCGATTAACCTGTAACCGACCGTTCGGCCACCGCTGGATTCTGCATTTTAAATTTAGATATAGATTACAGATATTTCAGCGTCCAATGACCATGTCGAGTGGCGGGCCTACAAAATTAGTTAAGTGGGAGTAATTTTATTTTTATTATAAAAAATATTAATTTTATTGGGGTATTATACAGTTTTATTCAAAAAAAATTGTAATTTATGTGAAAAAAAATGTTTTTAAATTGGTTCAGTGGGGTGTGTGCCCATACACTTGTATATATAGATCACCATGTGTCTCATGTTATATTACTCGACCAAAAAAAAACCCATATCCGTAGTTGTTGATCTTCCTCAAATGGGCCACGGCCCTATCATGGTAGATTAATAAAAAGCCCAAATGAAGGGCCCGAATATAAAATATCCCGTGAAATGCTCTATGAAATATCTCCTCTTTCTCTCTCTTATTTCTGTTGATATAAAGTAAGTCGGCAGACGGTCTTAATATTCTTTGACAAATTTTTCCACCGTGGGAAATTAGCAGCCGTTCATGTACGCTGTTCTGTGTTGGTTAGATTTGTCTTTTAGTATTCTAGCACGGAACAGGAGATATAGTCAAGGAAAACAGCGTCATATTCGCCGTTGAAAATTATATATTTATATATATTTTTAGTTCTCTTTTGTATTCAAACTTTTTTCTCTTCATTCAAATAAAAAAGAATATCATCGATCCAACCGATACTATATCAAATTTTCAATTTAACTCTAAATGTCTTAACAAATTGAGAAATGATTATCGGGGATGAATCTTTTAACATAATTTTACGTAACTGGATCGGTGATAAGTTTTGTGGTGATCAATTAATTTATCTTATAAAAAATATATATTTTTAAACGGTTATAAATAAAGTTGTTATAAATATATTTTAAAAAATGAAAAATTTAGAGTTTCATTATAAGGTGTAAACATTATTATGATTATATACTTTTACTAATTATATATATATATATACATATATATTGTCCGGGAAAAATATTTATGGTCCATTACAATGGATAGAGGTGGACGTTTCAATTCGGTTTTTCGAAAATGAATTATACCGAATTGGAAATTTTGGTATTTTCTCTGAACTGTATCGTTCAAAAATTTTCGAACGGTATAATTTTTATAGAATCGAATTTTTCATAACCAAACTGAACTTTATAAAATTCCCGAAAAACTGAATTTTCTTAAAAAAATCTAAACTTTTTAACAAAAGCAAAACCGAATCGAACTGAATAATATACGGTACTAATTTGATACAAATTTTAGAATACCGAATAAATTATTTCCAAACCGAACTAATAAAATTCTGATTTGAATCCCAAAAGATCCATCCCAAACTTTGGAACCTTGGATAGTCGTTGACTCATTGGTAAAACGAAACACAACAATTTGTCTATTGACATGCAAACTATACATTTTTTAATCTTATTCTAGTTACATATATTCAAAGTATTTAAATTATTTGTTTTCAATTTTAATTTGTTGCCTACCCCGTAGAAAAACCACGTGCAGGTTGACTTAGTCACAGATATCGATTTCCAAGTCAAGCAAAGTTATAATTTTCTTCAATATTAATTTTACATTGGAAATTATATGAACACTCCTTAAACAACAACTATATAAAGCGCTACAGCTCCATACGACATGGGATAAACCACGCATTAATCATTCGCTTAATAGCTCACATGATACTAAAGAATGGCTTGTTCTTCGCATTTTTTACCATTGTGGCCGAAGCGGCAAGATTCGAGGTGATAAATAATTGCCAGTTCACTGTTTGGGCAGCCTCGTACGCACCCGCCGCGCCTGCAAGTGGAAAGCGTCTAGGCCAAGGCGAGACGTGGACCTTGATCGCGAATCCAGGCACAAGTATGGGTCGGATATGGGGTCGGACCAACTGTAGTTTCGATGCTTCTGGACGACGAGGTAGATGCGAGACGGGTGACTGCAACGGTGTCCTCGAGTGCAATTCTCACGGTGAAGCACCGAATACTCTGGCCGAGTACACGCTCGGTGGGGAGTCTAGGGACGTTGGAAGTCTAGACTCCATTGACATTTCTTTGGTCGATGGATTTAATCTCCCGCTAGAGTTCGGTTCCTCGTCTTCACAGTGCAGTCAAGTAATCAGGTAAGTTAAATTCCATGTTAGGTGAGATTTTTCTTGAAAGTTATATGTTACTGTTTATTATTACATCTTTTTTTTTCTTTATATACACTAAAAAAAATAAGAAAAAGTTATTAAACAAAATAAGTAATAAGTAAATAAAGATACTATGCAAACAAATAAGTTATGCCATAACTGATATAACTAAGATTTGATTTTTGAATTGATATTGTGTCATTAAATTTTGTTTATGTATGTTTTTTAGTCTAAAACAATTTAACCATATATCTATTATTTTTATGTATATGCACTGGGTAATTAAAATTTATTTGTTTTTGGGTCAGGTGTGCAGGAAATATAATAGGGGAATGCCCTACGGAGTTAAATATGAAAAATGCATGTAATGGACCGTGTGCGGTGTTCAAGACAGATGAGTATTGTTGTACTCCTCGTTCTAACACGTGTCAGCCGACCACTTACTCTAAATTCTTCAAACGACGTTGTCCCTATACCTACAGTTACCCCCAGGATGATACCAGTGCCACATTCACTTGTCCCGCTGGAACCAACTACACTGTCATTTTCTGCCCATGATCAATATGTCAATGTTCCATTTTATTTTTCGTTTATTATGGTCAGGGCGAATGCATTTGTTCATTGTTTCATCTTTCTCCAGATTATATTCAAGGACCATTTGATTTTATGAATACAACAGAGAAATCTGGACATCCAATGCTCCCATGAATCGAGGGCATCTGCTGCCTTTTGCAATCTAAAACAAAGAATATTCTTCCCGTCTTCCATCCCCAAATGCTAAATTTTATACTATAATTAACTTCAATATATATATTAATATATATTATAATTCTCTCCAATTTAACAGTATATTACAATTAGCGTACACCTACATTAAATTGTTAACGAGTGTATTAATTAATTAATTAATTACTACAAAAATTTCGAAACCGGAATAGACTTTTATTTATTTTTTTAAAGTAGAACACACTGTTTTTTTGGCGTCCTTTTCTTGACTTTATTTCAGTGAAAAATAAAAAATCGGACCCCAAAAACACGCATGCAAGAATATTCAATAAAGGCTGTCTCTCTTATTTAGTCGCAGATCTCATTTCGTCTTATATATTATTAATCGGAGGAATTTGCAAGGTTAAAAACAGTTTAAAAGAGGTGTATTAACATTAAGCGGCTAATCCAAGATTTTTATTAGGTGGCTCAACTTGTAAAGCGTGAGACAAATCTATTTCTCATGCAAAACCATGCCGACAGAGATTAGTTAAGACAGCTAATGAGTATCTGTTTTTTTTTTATAACCAGATATCAACCACCCTGCAATTCTTCTTGTGAATAGTCTCTGCTGCAAAGATCTGCTATCCACGTGAATCAACATTGCTCTGTAGTACATCACAAGAACTTATGTTTTCAACGAGGTCCGAACTCAGTAACCGTTGCATCATTGATAGAACAAAGAATAGAGTTGTTTGTAGATCGAATAGTCCCCACTCCGTTTCCGAAGAAAAATCCGGGCGTTTGAGGATCTGGAAGATTGATCGAAAAATTTGTTAGCATCTGATGGATTGTTGATAATGTTGGACGTTTAGCCGGATCTTCTTGAACGCATAATAGACCGATATGTATGCATCTAATCACTTCCTCTTTCTGATAATCCTCTCCAATAATTGCGTCCACCAGTTCTAGCGGTGAACCATTACTCCATTGCCTCCAAGCCTAAATCGAGCGTTATTCAATTAGCATCCAAAATCGTGATGTCTGAAAAAAGAAGTTTGATGATCATTAGTACTCACATATGTGACCAAGTTGTCAACAGTATCATCCATTCGGTAGAAACTGCTATTCTTCTTGCCGGTTATAATCTCCAAGACTAAGACTCCAAAGCTGTACACGTCAGACTTCATGGAGAATTGGCCATACATTGCATATTCTGGAGACATGTAACCGCTGAAACATATAGAAAACATATAGAAAACCTTGAGTATGTAACCTAATTTGGATAGTTTAACTAGTGAAAAGAGGATGCAAAACCTCTGTTCCACCCCCAAAATCGAACTGAATCTTAGGAGGGAATATTCACATAGCTTCCTTCCGGATTTGAGATTAGTGTGTGTCTCGACTCAAAATATCCAGTTACCCAAAAAGAACCCTTGAGTATGTATGCACCATTGGTTAATTAATGCAAACTACAGTTTCAGACATTAAAGGCAAAACTTACTAGGTTCCAACTACCCTTCTCGTATTTGCTTCGGTTTGGTCCATCCCAAAAATCCTCGCCATTCCAAAGTCTGCAATTTTCGGATTCATATTAGAGTCTATGAGAATGTTACTTGCTTTGAGGTCGCGGTGTATGATTGTGAGGCGTGAATCTTGATGGAGATAAAGAATTCCTCGAGTAATCCCTCCAATGATCTTGTATCGTGTGCGCCAATCCAATTGACCTTGCCTTGTAGTGTCTGCATCACCGTTAGCAATAACGTTTTAACATACGGGCTTCGAAAAATGATTTAAATATCTTTAGCATTCAAGGGATTCAACCAAGTTACAGAGTGCAACATACCAAATAGGAAATAATCGAGGCTTTTATTGGGCACAAACTCGAAGACAAGTATCTTTTCTTCTCCTTCCACGCAAAAACCGAGAAGCCTAACCAGATTTCTGTGTTGAAGTTTTGCCACAAGAACAACCTCATTCTTGAACTCGTTTTCACCTTGATCCGATGTTTTCGACAGTCTCTTCACTGCAACTTCTGTTCCGTTTGGTAATGTACCCTGCAAACATCCGAAACCAGACACTATAGTTGGCATTATTTGAGGGCAAAAAATCCAAAAGAAGCAGAAAAAATCAATCTTTTTTTCTAATACCTTGAACACTTCACCAAATCCACCTTGACCGAGCCTATTCCTCTGCGAAAACTTATATGTCGCAGCTTCAATCGTTTTAAAATCAAATTGCAGCGAGCCTACGGCTGTAATGTCATCCCCATCTGCAGAATGCAAGTGCAGTGTTATGCGTTAAGAAAATAAGCTCGCCAAAGTTTTCGAGATGGGAAATATTAAGATTTTTTATCATCGAGATCAATATACCATCATCTGCAGGCGCTGTATCATATGTCTTCCTTCCTCTCTTTGCGACGAAACAGTAACCGGCTATGAAAACCGGGAAAGCGATAGCAACGGCTACAGCAACAATGATGATTCTCACAAAAGATTTTCCACCTTTCCCTGCATTTACAAAAGGAATAACGGAATTCTTGGCTTCAATATGTTACCCCAAAACAACCTCTAGAAACAAGCGAGAGGGCAGTTTTCTGACCAGATGGAGGCGGAACAATGTTCTGTTCAGAGGGCGGTGGAACATTCTTCTGTTCAGGCGGCGGTGGAACAGTGTTCCGGCCAGGCGGTTGAGGAGTTACAAAGGCGGTTTCGTTAGACGGGTGGAGCTCGTACCTTGAGTTACAACTCGGAAGAAGAAGCCTTGCCCCATATCTACCGCGAGGTAATCCATTGATGGATTGTTTCAGACAGTCGTCACAGTCTTGTCTTGTGAGATCTAGAGTGCACTGTACCAGTCCGGACAACGTCTGATTCGCTGAGAAGTTAGCGTTCTTCACCGAGAACATTCTGGAATTATTCACGGCCTCATCTGCGGCCTGGTTCAGCGTTGAGACGAGCAAATCATTGAACCGATCCGATTCGTCAGAGGAAACGTTTTTAGGGTTCGTCATTATGATCACACCTCCTGTAACAGAGTTCGAGGGGAAGTTTCTGTAAGAGTACCGAAGCATACACTCGTCATACCAGATCAGAACCTCGTTCTCTCTCGGACAGCGATTCTGAGTGTAGTTGCCTGCGAACATAACGCAGTCACGGCAGATTTCCGCCGGGACGTCTCCCCGGCAGAGGAAAAGTCCGTTCACCATGTCGGGGCTATTTCCCGCCGCCGTGTTCTGGAACGCGGAGGTGTCGGTAGAAAGAATGTTCAAAAGGGTTCTGAGGTTTCTGGAGTAAGTGCTGTTTCTTGTATATGTCGTGTTCGAACATGTGTGGTATACGTAAGTAGGATCATCTGCAGAAACCCTCAAGCTTGTGATGATGATGATGATGATGATGACGATGATGGAGGAGGCCACATAGGAGTGAGACGGCATGTTCAATTACATAATTCTTTTGCGCCTTCTTCGTTTTCGTATAACATAACTTAGGAGATGGTTTTAGTTTCTTTTGCAACAATTCTGAGATTGACTTGCAAAGAATACAAGTCAAAGTATACTTCCTGTTCTTTTTAGCTGTCCATGGTCCCCGAAACTATATAACTTTGTTCTGTAATTGTTTGTATGTCTGTGAAAATATATGATTTCTATTACAGATCATTGCTGAAAAAAAAAACAATGACAAATGAATGCAACCATGAAATAAAAATCGACCAAATTGGCGGCATAATTTATGTGAAAAATCCGTGACGGAAAAAATCACAGACATACCATAGAGAAACAAAAACTAAATTTATACGGAAGAATCGTGAAATTCCAATATGTAATATCTTCTCTTTTTTGTTTTGGTAAACAAATGTGTAATATCTATATTATCATTAAATTAATCTCTTGCGGTCTCTATATTTATTTTCTTATAATTTCTCCTTTTTTGATAATTTATATGTATATATATATATAAACATTTACACTCTTTTAATAATAACAATTCTCTACAGCTTTATCAAATCCTATCATAAAAAACATAGTATTGAAGATACAGTGAACCAAACTGAATACCAAAAAATAACATTAAAAAATTCATATAATTTACAAGTTCATCTTAATCGTAATTCCAACCTCTTGGAACAATACAGAAACCAATCAGTTTATTTGTATCAAAATCGCATATATTATAAATTCGAATCAGACCGTCCAGTAGTCAGATTCAGCTGCGGAAATGCAGACCAGCTAGTTGTTGGGCCCACAAACATCCAACCTTTGAATTTTCTGCGTTGCGACAAAATTGAAATCACTAGGATCCTTCGTAATGGACGAAGACCGAAAACTATTGATAACTATATAAAACAAAAATGAAATAATAGTTAGCTTATACATCACGTTGGATTTGGAAAAAAATAATACAGAGCTCCTCTTTAAAAAAAAAAAAATATAATTTACATTTCATTAAAAAGAAACATGACTTTTTTGAATGGGGTGATACGTGGATGAAATCGCACAACATCAAGAGAACTTATTTCTTCAACGAGGCCCGAACTCAGTAACCGTCGCATCATTGATAGAACAAAGAATAGAGTCGTTTGTAGATCGAACAGTCCCCACTCCGTTTCCGAAGAAAAATCCGGGCGTTTGAGGATCTGGAAGACAGATCGAGGAACTCGTGAGCATCTGATGGATGGTCGACAACGTTGGACGCTTAGCGGGATCTTCTTGAACGCATAATACACCGATGTGTATGCATCTAACAGCTTCCTCCTTCGGGTAATTTTCTCCGATAATCGGGTCCACGAGTTCCAGCGGCGAGCCACTGCTCCACTGCCTCCAAGCCTAATCCGGGCGTCCAACAATTCGTATTCAAAAGGGTATTTATTCTCGGAAAAGGAGTTTGATGATCGAGAATACTCACATATGTGATCAGGTTGTCGACGGTATCGTCCATTTGGTAGAAGTTGCTGTTCTTCTTGCCGCTTATGATCTCCAGAACTAACACTCCCAAGCTGTATACATCGGATTTCATGGAGAATTGCCCATACATTGCATACTCTGGCGACATGTAACCGCTGAAACATATAGATAGATACCCCTTGAGTTTATAGAGAACGATCTTAGTTAACGCACCCCACTGGTTATATTCATATCCAATCGGATATTTTTTTTAATCGGTTCGAATCGGTTCGGTTCGGATTATCTAAACAAAAACGATAAAAAAATTCAAACAATTATCTTATAAAAATGTCAAAAACAACATTAAAATACATATATATTTCGTTTTAGTATGTACCATGTTTATAAAACAATATCATTATACTAATTTTTATTCGGCCACGGTTAATTCAGGGTCGGTTTACAGTTATTTTGGGTTCGATTATTTCGGATTCGGATATCTCGGGTTTGAAATATTCATATCTAATCGAGTATATTATTTTAATCAATTTGGTTCGGTTCGGTATTTCGGGTTCGGGTATTTAGCCTACCCCTAATTATTACATATACGGTATACCATTAATTTGAACATATATTACGTTTTAACCTATACATAAATAATTTTTTATTTAAAAAAAATCTATTTCTAAGTTTGTGATATGGCATGTTCCTTTTAGTTCTTTTTAAAAATTTCTCAACACTTTAAACAAACTATATTCCGAAGTATTTGAAATATCTTATGTGTATAAAAAATATATATATAACTTGGGAATGATGTCATGTTATTGTTGTTGTTGTATAAAAAAATATAAAATACAGCCAACAATATCTGAATAGATATATGTTCGAATATGCTAATTATATTTTCTGAAAAAATCTTGATAAGTTTTTCTACTATTTTTCTAATTTATTTTTTATTATTTTGTAAATTGTTTTAACATTTTCGTGTTAAGTTAATTAGCATAAAATTTCTCAATTTCCCTTTTTCAGAAAATAAAAGATATCTTGAAAATTTGTTATCTAAAAATATTCAAATAGTATATGGATAAGAAATAGGGGTGTTAATCGGGCCGGTCCGGTCCGAACCCGCACTCGGCCCAGAAGTTTCGGGTTTGGGCTCGGACCGGCCCGATTTTTTTCGGCCCTATATAATTAAGTCTGAAGCCCGGCCTTATACACTTCGGGTTCGGGTCGGGCCGGGCCGAGCTGGCCTGTGAATTTTCTTTATAATTTTTTTTCCTTTTTTTTCTTTTTAAATTTTCGGGCTTTTGGGCCGGCCCAACTCGAATCCGAAACCCGATTTTTTTCGGGCTTTTGGGCCGGCCCAACTCGAATCCGAAACCCGATTTTTTTCGGGCAAGGAAATTTCAGTCCGAAACCCACTATTTTTCGGGATGGACCAGGCCGGACTTCGGACCTCGGGCCCAAATTGACACCCAAACATTGGAATATGCTCGGCATGGAATGGAATCGAGTGAAACATTTAGTGGTCCATATTCAGGCCCATCAAGGGTCCACATCTCGACCCATACCAGTGAGCTCCAACACTCGTTTGAACCTACTGAGTGGCTAAGAGGGTTACATACACCTGTTGTTGTTGGTCACATATGTGTGCATGGCATTTTTATATTTCCATTTGTATGATATGCATTAGTAGTTTTTTCGCTCATTTTTTTTTAAATTTTACTTGCAAACTTATTCTCTAAATTAACAATAAATATACTCCATAATCACGCATACTTTACGAAAAAATTATATAAAAACGGATATAATTAACACTGAAAATATTCTTCTTCATTTAGACGATATAGGAACTCGTGACTACATCGTTGAGGAGCATTATTTATTCAGGATTACACACATAATGTGACCAAAATCACTATTATAGTCACCACATGTTTCACACATTATTGTATTTATAATGATTTATATATAAGTTCATGGGCAGAAAATGACTTTGTAATTGGTTCCGGTAGGGCACGTGAAGAGGCTGGTTGGATCGTCCTTGGGATAGCTGTAGGCATCGGGACAACGTTGTTTGAAGAACCGAGAGAGATCGGTGGGCTGACAGTTGCCCGAGTTGCAACAATGCTCTTCTGTCTTCAACACCGGACATGGCCCATTACATGCGTTGTTCATCCTTAACTGTGCAGGGCATTCTCCAATAATATTTCCTACGCACCTGAAAAAAAAAGATATCAAATATAGGAATTAAAAAAAAAAACTATATAGAGAGAGACAAAACTATCGAGAAAAACGTAATTTAATTTAAGGTAAAATCCTATAAAAAAAATACACAACTTTTAAAATCGAAAACAGTTTTCTACACGATTTGAGATATTGAATATTGCTTTCGTTTAAGAGTTGAATTATATATATATTTCAACATTTGATGTATTTATTTGTTAGATTAAAAGTTCGTGTGTGGTTTTATACATTTGATAAAATTCGTATATTTTTATGGGGTTATTATAGTTACCTGATGACTCGGCTGCACTGTGGAGAATTTGAGCTGAACTCCATGGGGAGATTAAACCCATCGATCACGGAGATATCGATGAAATCTTGATTGGCGAATCCACCAATGGTGTACTCAGCCAGAGTGTTGGGTGCTTGCCCATAAGACGTGCACTCGAGAGCCCCGTTGCAGTCACCGGTCTCGCAACTACCTCGACCAGAGCCGTCGAAATTACAATTGGTCCGACCCCAAATGCGACCTTGGGTGGTGCCTGGATCAGCCGTCACGGTCCACGTCTCGCCCTGGCCTAGACGCCTCCCACTGGCCGGCTTGCCCGGTGCTGACGAGGCTGCCCACACTGGCTGCTGGCAATTGTTTCTCACCTCGAATGTGGCCGCTTTGGACACAATCGCAAAGTTTAGGGTCACAAATGCAAATAAGAAAAAGATCGTTGGGGTAGATTTGAGAGAATCCATTCTTTTGCTGCTTGAGAAGCTAAGGGAATGCTTAAATCAAATGTGTGGTTTTGTTCCAACCGAGGTGTGGTGCTTTTATATAGGGTGTAGCCCCAGGGGTAATAGCGTAATTCTCGTCGTGAAATATATATCGTTGGAAACTATAGATGTAATCCCCAGGGGTAATAACGTAATTCTCAGCATGGAAACAATCGATATTGTCGATGGCTTTTGCTTGACTTGGTAAACGAAGACTAGGACAAGTCTCGGTCAAGCTATGGAAATTTTCCTACGAGTTAGGCAGCTCAGAACGTGCCGTGTTCCCGATCAATACAAGAAAAATTACAGTCACTTACACGAAGATCATTCCTCTAGTCTGACGAGGTAATGGGTTTAACACTCGAGAATATGAGTTTTCCCCGAGTGTATCAATTCCAGACTGTTTTGCAGGTTATTGCGTGAAATCTATGATTCTATCCACACCCGAAGAATTGTGGTGGTTTCTTTTGTTAAAAAAAAATCGGAAAAGATAATCAAATTTTTATATTCAAACAAAAGGAATTTTAAAATATTTAGATATATATGCACTCAGATATTTTTTTTATAACGGAGGACTCTAAGTACTATCCTTTAGACGTGCTGACTAGATAGATCTCCGACTTGCGATCAGTCTTTGTATATATATATAGACCTTAATTGATCCAGAAATTACATCTCTCCCTAACAAAAAGAATCGAACATCCGACCTTCAAATGCTTACCACTCGACCACCCATTGTTGGGTCAGTGAGGCTTGTTTCACTATGAATTGAGTTTATAAAATTATTAAATCTTATATATGCTATTAAATTCGTCTGATGATAATGCAAAACGTGGCGTAGATGTTTCGTTGTGCGAGAGGGACATCACCCGTTTACGTGTCTTAGTTTGGTTTGGAGACTAGAGCCACTCAGGTCAGACCAAAACCCTAAAACACGCACTAAAATCCAATCGTTTATTACACGACATTTCAAAATCTTGTTTGAACACTCGAAAATATTCATTAGCGGTATTTCAATCTCCTTTAAAAATGATCTGTATATCAGAACATGTCAAATATACAACATATCTCAATCCATTGCTTCATACGAAAATGACAGGTTACACGTAGAGATCTTTTAAAATAGAACGTAGGGAAGTATATGAAACTTGTCAAATTGCCAAAATAAAATCTAAACTATTTTCTTTCAACGTAAATTCCGAAATGTTGTTAATTAAATAAATAAATCCCAACTTTTAAATTCATGTGTCATAGTTAACCCTCAACGCTGACTTGGTATTTCGAACGATGACATATCAATTTTGATTCCGACTAAACGTTACTATTCACCGGTCATGTCATCGTCAATATACAAGTCATATCTTTCTATTACAAAATCAATATAAATATTTATATACACTACTACTATTTATATATTTAGTCTAGAGACCACTACTACTGTTTGTGTATATATATATATATATATATATATGGAAAATCCCCAAAAAAATCAACTTTTCAATTTTGAAAAAACAAATCTAAATTATTTTTGGAGTTAAAACAACACTAAACTATTTAAATTTTCCAAAATAATACGTGAAATATTCGATGAGATATTAAACAATTCGAATTGATGTTTCTTACAGATGTGCCAATGTGACGTGCAAAATTTTTTTCTGTAATGCCACGTCAGTATCCATGTTGGAAACAGAGTGTCAATTAAAAAATAAAAACCAAAATTTGGTTTAGAGTGAATCGGAAATTCGAACCGGTTTATTAAATCTGAATTTTTTTTTTTTATCAAATTCCATATGTATACCGGAGAGAGAGAGTCATTTTTCAGATTGAAACCCTAGGGATTACAAATTAGGCATTGATTTTTCTTCCATGTGGGTCCCAAGGCCACAAAAGAACATCAATAAAAGGGCTGCGGTAAAGAAATCGTAGTTAACTCAAAAACAAAATCCAAGAATAAAAAAATAACTCAAAAACAACTATGAACAAATCGTAATTTTAACCACTAGATGACAAGTGTCGCGTAATTGATCATGTAATCTTGGTATACGCCATATGCTTACGTGGCATAGCGTCATAGGAAGCAATTATTCATATATACATATAGTCAATATTAAAAAGCAACTACCAAACGATGAACAAGACGAGAGATTTCGAGGAAACTCCATTGCCCTTTTTTATATATAAAAATTTATCAACATGTTAAATTATAAATCACAATAAACCAGGATACCATAAGATGTATGTATACGTACTACTATAAAAACATATATTATACCAAATAATTTATAAGCATGTAGTTTACATACGGAAAATTGGTCATCAGACAAGCATATAATATATAAGATTAACAAATTTCCGCTAAAACTTCGTGGAAAACCTCTAATTATAAAATATAAATCAAACCCAGACACACTTCAACCATCAAGTTTCAGTTTTCGGCTCAGACAAATATCAATTTCTGTTCGAATTTATATTATCACATACGTATCTAAAGGATGAAAGAGCACAGCGATCACGTAGTAGTGATAGCCTGCGCATCTCCGGTAGCTGACGGTGGCACAACGGCGGCGATTCAGTCTCCCTTTCCATCTCCGGCGACCGTTCCAGCGATGACGCCGTCGCCGTTCGCCGTATCCGTCGCGTCGACGAGGTTCAGTTCCCGGCGGCGGCCGTCGGATCATGTGTCGGGCGTCGTTCTCCGGTTCATGGCTCTCGTCTTCTCCTTCGTCTCTGCTCTTTCGCTGGCTATTCAGACGCCGTCGTCGAGACCAAGACATCGGAATCAGAGTTCCGGTTTCGCTGCTCATCCTGAACTCGTGTAAGCAATTTTTAACTTTTTCATTGACAAAAAAAAATAACCTTTTTAATATGGTATTGTAATTATGATTAAAAAAATATGTATTAATTGGGATGCCTGTAAGTTTAGATCACACCACAAAGTAAGAATTCCAAGTTTGTAACATAGGATCGCATTTGAACAATATTTTTTAACCATGAAATGAAACCACATAAGTTTTAATAGACCTTTAACTATTAATAAAATTTCTCCCCTTGTTATATTAATCGGTCCATTGACCAACATTTCTTATGTGTAAACAATGACAGGCAAAAACTATATTTTATATGAATGAAAAGGAAATCCTTTAGAGATGAGATAATTGGTCATATAAAAGTAAGAATCTTTGTTTATTTCATGCAATTAGTAAAGAAATTAATTGTACTATATGTTAAATTATTATATATAACCAAAATTCATGGGGGGGAGGCAGGTCGTTTTAACATGAATATACGTTTGATGGATGATATAATCTAGATCATTGATCCACCATCATACATGAAATAAGAGGGTAATTAAGAAGGAATAAAATAATGCGTGCAGGTATTGTTTTGGGGTGGCCTTGACAGCATTCTTGTACTCAGCTCTGCAAACATTCAAAGGAGTTTGTGATGTTTCCCACAGAGGAGTTTTAATCTCCGATTCCCTCTCTGATTATGCCAGCTTCATCCTCGACCAGGTTCTCCTAAATCTCTCTCTCTCTCTCTCTCTTGTGTGTGTATATATATGTATATGTAAGTATATGTATTCTGATATGTTGTTTGTGTGCATGAATTAATGAATACGTACACAGATAATGTGTTATCTTCTGGTGTCATCCTCTTCGGTGGCAATTGCAAAGATCCAAGATATGGATGGAGAAGACATGAAAACACTGAGAAAGGGTTCCATTGTATCGGCTTCGATGTCATTCTTAGCTTTCTTTGTCTTGGCCATTTCTTGTCTCTTCTCTGGTTACAAGCTTTGCAAGAGATTCATTTGGTAACAACCTCTCTCTCTCTCTATATAGATATACATATATATATATATAGAGAGAGAGAGAGAGGGGCGTGTGTGTTTAAATGTTTTTGTTGTTTTAGAAGACATGTACAATTGGTCTATAATGTGTTTACCAACTCTCACTTTCATTGATATTTTATCTACATGAGTGTTATGCGGAGAACAAGTAACATTTCCTGAAGGATTCTGAGGTTGGGAAGCACGTGAGCCTAATAAAGCCCACTAACTTGAAACTTGATGTTAGGACTTTGGTTTCATCGAAACTATTGGGCCTTCATTTCGGGTTATAATTGGGCTGCCACACGAACCTAGACCCTAAACCCTAAAACTTACACATAAATATTAAAACTTTTTAAAAACTTCCAAATAAAACTAAAATCTATTTTTTAAAAACTTTCAAATAAAACCAAAATCTATTAACGACGTTTAATTTATAACGGAATCCATAAAAAATTGATGATTTAGTATTCTGAAACGTTAAACACCGTTAACAAATATTATTTAATTTGAAAGATTTTCAAAAGTTTAGATATTTTTACGAAAGTTTAAAAAAAAATCAGATATTTATTTGAGAATTTTATAGTTTAGACATTTATATGAAAATTTTACAAAAATTCAAATATTTATATATGATTTTTCTTTTTTCTTTTTATTTTTTTTTCCAGATTTTGTATCATTTAAAAAGTTAATGTTAGTTAAGGTAGGAGTGGCCTTTTTGGGATTATGTAAAATTGAATCAAACACCATAAAATTATGTGAAATTGTTTGATGTCTATGAGGAACATGGTGGGTTCTTCTCGTCTTTGGTCACAATTCTACCATCCCGAGTTGTTCCTGATTTCAGATGTAGCTTCTTGGATCTTCTTCTTGATGGAACTGAAGCTACTCTGGCTCGTTCTGCTCCAGCGGGACGATGTGCTCCTCACGATTTCCGAGAAAGCGGGCAGGTTTGATGCCAGATCTTCATACTCTGCCAAGAACACACAAGTGAAACGGTCGAATCAACGATTTTTGTTCGGCTGTTGTGGTTTTTGGCAACTTGTTATGGTATTTACCTGATGACATGGGGAGCTCATACTGGCGTTTCAAGAACTTGGAGGCAGTATGGTCTTTTTTGTGGCAGAGAACTCTCACCAGAGTGCGGGCGTCCTCCATGCCCCGTGACCGCCCTCGTTTCTCTGAGCTCACTCCCATGGAGACGAGCTCGCTCGCCGTCATCAGCATCTGTATCAGCATTTCGCTCTGCCGCCAAGAAGACGGACGGACCAAAGGCTCGCATCAGTTGTTTCGTTATCTCTTTCATTTTCGACAAAATGGATATTTTTATGCTTTCACAGGAGAAAGAAATGTGTTACCTCAAGAGAGTACAAGTCGAGAATCTGTTCAGCCAGTTTGGCTTCTTGCTCGACTAGCGTACGGGGAAGACCCTCACCTTCAGCGATGAAGAACTCCTACGAGAATGAATGGAAGTGGTTAGTATTTGAAATTGCAATTTGCAACCGCTGGTTATGACCATGATCAGAGATGGCTCATAGGAAGCACTGGAATTTATTTGGTGAATTTCTTGTACTGTTTACTCCGTCATTTGATAGAAATAAGATTGAAACGGAGAAACCAAGTTTATCGTACAGCTCGAAATTGGAATCAATCAGGAGAACAAATTCCAATTCGAAATCTGATGAGGAACTTTGCCATAAAAATAGAATTGCATTTGGAAAAAGCAAATCAAATCATTGCACACCTTCAAAATGGTGAGATCCTCTTCCATCAAGGGGATGTCTGAATCCGAAAATGCACGGGTTGGCCCTCCATCAAGTAGAACTCGGACATAGGCTTCCTGTATGAAGAGAAGCGTAAATAAGAAGAAATGGGCATATATGCTTTTGGCATCACATCGATGGTATGGATAAGAGTGGGTATACCAATGCGGCTTGGCAGATGCTTAAGACCACCATGTCTCTCGAGTCTTCCTCAATCAAACTGCATACACTGTCCAGGACCTGTTCATTGTAATCCTCAATATAAATAAGCAATTTCAGTAAAATCAGAGTACCAGGGTGAGAAAAAGACAAGACTGCAAGGTGTTTACAGAATCAATATGAGGGAGTAATCCTTCCAAGCGAGACCCTTCGACACTGCCGCGATATAGCTGAACCAGGAACATGTCTCTCAGATCCCAGAATATGGCTCTTGCTCCTGTTAGTAGAAACATATACTCAAACTTAGGAGTGTATAATACTCATTAGTGTCAGCCATATCGAACATTTCCCATCCATGAACTGATCTCGGATTGTGCATATTAAAACTGTGAAATATGTATCATACCAAACTTAAAAAGAACATAACAATATATTTATGGTCTGTTCATGAGCATCACGGATACATAAATATAAATATAAGAATGTTATTGCATTTTTCTTTAGCGGATAAGAGAATGATCTATCACGCAATAACAATGTTGGAATTTACGGAAACTAGAGGTAAAGGGAAAAGATGATGTGGAAAACCGCTTTAACTTAGCTAACCCTACCAGCTCAGCTGAAATTTGATGGAGCAACATAACCATGACGTTCTGCAATTAGCTTACCGATTAAGTTGCAGGTTTTGGCTATGCAATTGGCGGTTGTATCCCTGAGGCTGTCGTAGGTCGTAGCAAAGAGTTCATCAACAGCTTCACTATGTGTCAACGAATTCTCCTCTGAGGTTTCGTCTATCTCATTTTCTGAAACAAGGGGCACAAAGATGGAGCGGAAAGTGCATATTTCAACATCAAGAGACAAAAAAAAAAATGAAGAAAATAATAATCCTCTAAGGCTAGATCATAGTTACGGTTCTTACTTGATCTCTTGGCATGAGAGGATCGGACAAGCGCCCAAGCTTTTCTTATACCATCTTCCGTAGTACCAATTTGTTTCTGGATATACTGATCCAAAAACAAAGAACAAACGAAATAAATACTTTTTTCCTTTATTTTGTATGTTTTTTAGTTTTAGTTGATAACTAGATAAAGGTCTTTTAGATAGCAAAGATTGGGAAAACAAACACTTACACGAAGTGTATTCAATCTTATACAAAACTTTGGTATTGTCAACTCATCCAACTTTTTAAGCACTTTATCATCTGGTCCTGTAAACTCAAGTGACTTCCTCCTCATGACTGGCATAACAGCTTCGGCAAATCGAGTTAGAGGAGGTGCAGGTGGATATAGATGCTTCTTGTCAACTGCCCATATAAGCACTATCATCAATATATTGCAATATATTTTGCGAATAGAACATATAATATTCATTTTAGTAGGTTCACTGGACGATATTGTAACCCAATTCAAGCACCTGTTGAAAAAGCCCAACAAAAAATCTACATGGTGTGCACCTAGGCATATACATGCTTGAGTTGAGAGTGTTTCACTACACGTATCGACATAGAGATGTAAAATCTAATGCAATTGTGTAAGGATGTAGGCTCGGTTGATATTCAATACCTAGTTGACTGAGAAATCTCTGTAGATAAGCATCCAAACTATGATAGATTATCGAGAGAAGCGCCTGGAGATGTGTGATGTCCAAAGAAAGATTCAAACCAAATAGCTGAGACACGGTCTGCAAAACAAGTGAGATGAGAAAGGAAGGAGATCAATAAATTGTCTATTGTACCAAAGAATAATGGTGGAAGAAAAAAATTATGCACAATAGAAGTAAAGCTAGAATCTGACAAAAACAATCTACTTTAGAATTTCCCGAGGTGGCATCCAAAAGCATGATACATAAACCACAATGCTGAACTCGTTTTTCGTTGCAGGATAAGTTGAGCCTATGCTACGTCTCAAGGATTTACAGTGTTTTGCCAGATGATCTCATGATAGTACCTCTTCTATAATCCTGAATACTTCCACGATTGATGCGGCTTGTCTTTGATGAAATGATAGAGGATCCCACTCCTGCATATACAAGAAGCATTTTAACTAAAGTTCTATTTCCAGGGTTGTCTGGTTTTAGAAGGTGACACAAGGGCTAGAAAGGGTTTTCATTATATCAGTGCTTTTCACTTGATTAGTCAACTTCTAAACTCTAGATGTTACATCTTTCTATAGGTAACACCGCCAAGGTTAACAGTGATTAATCAACATTAGCTCCAATTCTGAACCGTGATTCTATCTTTGTCTAGAACCAGAAGACAGAAACCCGTAAGTGTGTTGCAAACTTGCAAATAAAAACAATCAAACCTCTATGTCAAATGCTCGCCCGGTCCATTCCAAGATATGATTATGCTGAGAAATAAGCCAGTCAAGCATGATAGGCTTGACAACATCTTCTATCTGCCATAGACAGGCAGGGAAGAGATTGTTATATGACTTATTTTAAGTGACATTCGGGAAAAGAAACTAAAAAACTGGAAAGTGGCACGTTGCTGTATTCAGATCCACATATTTAAAAAAATTCCATAACCTGGTAACGCTTCAACTTCTGGGAGAAAGGTTTCTGCAACTTGGATTTGCTATGAGAATTATACAGCTGAATCAGGTCATCCTCCAAAGTATAGGCAACAGGAATTACTTGTCTAATATCTCCAGAGATGGATGAAATTCCCTTGAGGAAAGGATTCTGCTCAAATAGAACAAAGGATTACATGCAAAGAGAAACCAATAGCAAACTATTTTATCCTCCCATATTGAAAAATTTTGCAGGGACAAACCAGTCTTTCCCCGTAGAACTGGTGCAGCAGCAATGCTGAGATCGTCATACAATCAGGCAACCATTTGGAAAACACAGGAACAAACACATTGATCTCTGTCTTGGCAATGAGCCTTAGTTCATTTGCAAGCAGAGCTAGTGGATGCGATCTTTCAACTTGAGATTTCATGTATGCAGAATGCGCTGCCTAGAAGCATAAATGTATTAACATTTTAGAAGTTGTAATATTGTTTCATTCAATTCATCACTGTTGAAGATTATATGTTACTGCAGTAAAGGCAGAGGCTAACAAAGTATAACAATACAAGATTAACTACGAAACAAACTCACCCTGGCACATGCAGCTTCAATAGAACTCTGAACATAGGATTGTATCTTTTCACTGGCATCATCGCTCAGAGTATCCACTTTGATAAGCTGGAGGAGGAAACTCCCTCAATGAAAAAAGGTCATCCAGATATCCCACCACACAACAAGCACACAATATATAATATTCTACACTTGGCATTCATACGCCCAACTAAACAGTTGATAAATAACATACGATCCATTCTTTTGCATCATCAACAAACACTTGATACGGAACACATATACTTTATGTCAGATATTATGGGACTAATAGCATGACCTGTCAGCCATGAACTTGACTGCTCTAATCTTGGAACAATCACAGTGTTCAAATCTCAGGAGCACATAAATATTTACATCATCAAAATGAAACATGCAGTTTTTGATAGCTAAATCGCTTCTAGAATTATAGCAGGCATAACACTTTTTTCTGAGCCTAGTTCAACTTCTACTGAATCAAAATAAGTCACCGATGTTATAAACAGAAAACAAGAGATTTTTTGCCATAAACAAATAGTGTTGAATGGCAACAGACGTTAGAAAGACTAACCTCACTTTCCGTCCAATCTGCAGGACATCCAACTGTTGATGCCAAGTTCATAAAAATTCCAAAATCACGAGGTTTCTGAAGGGACACAGATTATCAAGAAAGTTATTCAAAGAAATAGTTCAAACAGACAAAAATCTTCTAAGTAACATAACAAAAATGATTGACGAATTTATGACAAATTGAAAGAAAATAATTGTCATTTGAGTAGCGTAGGGAGTAGCAAAAGGATGATAATATTGGTTACCCGGAATACAGAAGACCGACAAATTATGCAGAACTAGATAGAGAAACTTTGCACAGTAGAATTTTTAGTATTTAGTTATAGAAAACGATCGATGACAGAACTGAAAAAACTGACCTGACCAAAATGCAGATGGTAATCCTGAAGTTTATCATCACACCAAACACTGACGGAAAGAAGTATCGCCTTCAGCAGACTTAAACTTCTCTCAGATCCATTGATTTGCCTTGAACATACTAGATGACTTAAATAAAGCTCTTCCTTCGTGTTGTCCTCTTCAACAGAAGTAACTTTCTGCAACTCCCGAGCCGCATTATCTAAAAGCGCAGGTTCGCCTGTACAGACAAACTTCACAGCAAGGAGGCACATCCAGAGCCCATCTTAGACTCTTTTCTGAGAAATTTACAAAGGGCGATTGTACATCTGCAAGTGTGATGTCATATAGAAGGAAACCAAATTCGACATTGCACTCACAATGTCAAGCAACAAAAAGCACACGAGTGTCCGATTGGCTATTTAATTGAGAGTGTAGGTGTATTTAATAGTGGCTCTCCTCAGCAGTGTGTGTGTGTGTGTGCCCATGTGCGCATGGGCAAGCGAGAGAAATAGAATATATCTATTTATTTGTTATAGGGTTTTTATGTGCAATGTCTTATAAAAGGCATACATGCAGAGCATAATATAATCGCCAAACTTTGTAGCATTAGAAAGAGAAATATTGAGACACGTTATCGAATATAAGCCAAGAAAGAAGAACAAAAACCAGTTGGATCAACTGAGACAAGACATACCTGTTGAAAAAGGACCCAACCATATATTGCATTGTGCAGTTCCTCAGTTATGCCCAAAACAGGCCAAATCGACTTCATATGGAAGAGCATTGCCAAAGCGTCCTGATATTTATTTGAAATCAGAAAAAATGTGAACTAGATAACGAGTGAAAAAAAAAGAAAGAAAAAAATAGAAAAATCTACCTCTATGAGTTGACCCTCGTCAAGACTATCAAATATGCCAAATACTAATTTCTCATACAGCCTAACATTCACATGATAGGCACCGGTCCAATAGTGAGTTTCAGCTTCGATTCCGCATCGGCCAGGTAGTGAAGACAACTTCAAAGCCACCTGCCTAATAGATGATAGAACCTCAACACGCAGTGAAGAAGACATCACAACATCCCATTCCTATGCCAACCAAGCAAAAGTATCAGATTTAAGGAAAGAAAAGTCAATTAACCATTGCATCAGATAAAAATCTGCTGTAAGTGAAATACCAAAATTTCAAATTGTGTACACACACCTTTGAATCTCTGATCTTAGCAAGACAATTTTCAACAGTTGCTCGTTCATTTCTCCCCAGACTAGTTGAAAAACAGAGTAGTTCTTCTAGTAAGTTAGCCTGTAGTTGTAATGGGAAAAACAACCAACTCAAAGACTTTAGCAATAATACCTTGCAGATCTGTACCTGTTTTTCACATATTTCATATACAGAATACAGATTGATTACTAAATGCTTACAGACCAGCAGACTAATAGCTACAACGCATAGTAGATTCAATATGCATGCATAACATATGCACAAAAGCTTGCATGTGTTTATTAACATGTCTTGCATTACATTTTGACTTCAGTCATGGTATGGGATTCTGCCAATGTAGTGACACTTCAACATCATAAATTAGGCATACATTGATAAAATTTCAAATGCCTATACATGAGAAGAAATTATAAGACATCCTATCAAGCCAAATCATAGTATTAGAGCAGAAGCACAGAAAGGCAAACAGGAAGACATTAGATCTTACATGAGATTACCATCTAACCAATATCAAACCAAGCCATCCAAAAAATAGCTCAAGTGATTAGTTGACTAAACAACAAGAGAAAACAAGACTGAAAAATGATCACCTGTCTAGTCTTCCAGTTCATGTATAGTTTTTCATTAGGAAAATCTGATTTGAATATCCCAACCAAAAGCCCCAATGCCAACTGTGGTAGATCAATTTGTTCATCTGTCCTCATAGCAGCCAACTGTACCAGATTTCTCCGGATGCATGTATCCATCCTTGATGAAATCTAGTAAGGGAGCAATAAGAAATGATTGAAACTGAAGCGGATACAAAATCCGGATTCATCGAACCATGTGATTAGTAACTTAAAGACTAAAAGACGTGCTATGTCATTTAGGTAAGACCAGAAAACATATTCTCCTTTGCTACAAAAGATTAGTGTGTGACTACACATTGAAGATATAATGGTTTTGAAGCTTGCCTGCATCTGAACACGGAATGTATTGATAAGCTCTGAATGTTTATCAGAGAACTGAGGCTGTAGATTCAGTTTCTCCCTTCTCTTCAAACTTGACAAAAGTTTTAAACTTTTGTCCTTCTTTCTGCTTTGAGTAGAATATGATTCGGAACTGTTCATAAAAAGCACCTAAGAATGTGAACAGAGAAAACACAAAATTGTATCCAGACAATAGCTAGAAATATTAGTGTGTCATAAGTAACCCAATAATAGACATGTAGGAAAGTGGGAGTACCTCGAAAGCAACAAAGAGGCAACCATTATCTCGTACGCTGTTTCTCGCAAATCATCATCCGATAGTCCTTCAAAAACCCTGATATCATGTATCAATTTACTCGAAAGATGGAAACTAAATCAATCCACACACAAACAAATGGAAGATACTCATGGAAAGAATATAAATAACTTTTTCCTAAATAAATACCTGTTCTCAAGGTTGGTAACCCAAGAGGGGTAATTTTGTTAGGTTTCACGGGTTTGACATTAGAAGATTCCTCTTGAAAGATATAGTTGTCTTTAGATGTAGGACTATCAGGAGAGTCAATGTGGGATGACATGCCCGGTCCGTTCTTACTGGGTTTTTTCAAGTTAACTGGAGGGGGAGGCAAACGCCTAGGAGGAGATCCTGCCATATCTGGATTTGATACAAGAAAATAGGAATCTCCTGATTCAGAATGTATCTGCGAATTTAAGCCAGTAAAACAAACAACTTCAACAGCTATAACAGAAAAGATATATGTTATTGTAAAATTGAAGACTTAAACCAAACGAAAAGCAAGGAGTATGTGCTTTCTAAGTTAGTGTTTCAACCTTTACTTAAACATCAATACTTAAAACACCAGTTTGATGGAAGGATAAGACAAAAGCTGTATTCATCTGCCTTACACTACTTTCCAGACTACATCTATAATACTACAGTGATACTCCAAGGTCGTTCCACAGCGGTATCCCATGATTAGTTCCTCATATCTTACTCCCCAAATAGTGAGCAGAAAACATTACAATAAGAACAAGAATATAAGCAGATATCATTAATAGAGCATTTATTAAGCTCAATTTTTGCAATTAAAGCAATGAGACACTTGCCTTCTACTACAAAAGCTCGTCTACAGTGCAACTTGGCTTCAGAGAAAAAAAAAACATAATAAAGCAGACAGAGAATACAGAAACCAACCAACCAACCAAGCCCATTGGACTGAATGATAAGCACAGGATCAATTGTTCCTTACCGTTATTGGATACGAGGACTCAAGATTGTATTGCTCCGTGCCCTTGTATAAATCAACTGCGCTACCTGAGAAGATGTTCACAAGCTCAACAATTACACACCTAGAACCAAGTTTTTTAGCACTAGGATAGTGATGTAGCAGGTGGCCTGATTGGTTACCGAGAAAATCTGAGGGAAACCATAAGAATGAGCAGAAAAACAAGTTTACCCAATTACTCCAATAGCATGGAACCCTTAATCTTCCATCACAATAGCAAATGATAACGAAACAAGTAATAAGTCAAAAATCATTTCAACGACAAGAAAATTGCCAAAAAAAAAAGGGCCAGCAGTCAAGCTTACAGCTGATTCTTTTTCCCTCGGAAACCAAACAGGTAAAGTTAGATATTTTATCGGCAACCAAACAGACCCACAACCGGAGAAGCAGAAACTCACCGGATTTCACGCATTCGAGAACATAATCTGCGCTGAGAGCGTCCAAATCAGCGCCGGAGAGGGAATCTGCGGAATCAGAACGATCCCGGAGATCCGTTATCGAACCCGACGACATGAGAAACTCCAGGAGCTTGCGGCGATCGTCGCGGTAACGCTGCAACAGCGAATTCATCTCCGACTCCATCAGAGTCTACACCACTCAGAGAACATACACGATACACTCTCTAAGATTCTCTACAGATGTTATCGGAGAAGACGAGGGAGAGAGCCGCGGAGAAGCTTCTTGAGCATCCTGCGTGAGGAAAGCTCCCCTTCTCCTCTCGCGAAAGAAGGGAGAACTGAGGGTTTTGGTGGGGGGAGAGGAGCGGAAAAAGGAGAAAGTGTGGAAAGACCAAAACACCCTTAACAAATTCTTTCCATATTTCTCTCCTTGTAACGGTAAAAAAAAAAATTACAGTTCGTTGAAGTTTCGAATTCAAAATCCAACGGGCCAACTGGGCTAAGAACCAAGTAAATGGTACTTTTAGATATCGACCCCTAACTTCTTCTTTTTCTTTGCTCACGACCCGTAACTTTATTTTGTTGCTAAAAAATCTCTACAATAGAAAACTGAGATAGAGCGATACACATGACATAACATGTATAGAAAGAGAATATTTAAAATATGAAGATTCTTATTTGTTTCATGGGACGAAAACCCAATATTTTCTTTTGTAAGGCAAATTTAATGAATTTATTTATTGACCGATTATCGGATTAGTACGCACCTTATAAAATGTTACAAAAAAAATTGCAAAAAGAGCAACGGACAGATCAAACTACAGTCTTTGTATATACCCCTTTCAAGAGCAAATACGTTCGAGTTCTGAGATTTATAGTAACCTAAAGAGCACGAACAAGGAGAAACACATCTCTCTTTCCACAAAAAAAGGAAACTTTATGTGCAAAAATAACACACCGCAAAACGTATTGTGCAATTTCTCATACCCAAGACAAAAACACACACAGTAACAGTACACAGCATATGAACCGGTTCGGACTAAACATGGTTGCTGTCATTGACGATGTTGAACTTGCAAAGCGGACATTTCGAGTTTATGCGAAGCCATTTCTCGATGCAGGCGCAGTGGAAGTGGTGTCCGCAGGGAAGCTCTCGTAGTTCAACTCCCTCTTCGTAGTCGCATAGACATATGCAGCATTCCTACATAGTTGAATGTAAACATACATGTCTGGATAGAATACTTTTTGAGTAAACAAGCAAGAACGGGTGGGAAGAAAAAAAAAATCAGTATGCGCAAGAATGGAAAGGGGAGTACCGCGTCTTCTGGAGAAATTGAATGTTCTATAGGCGAATCCGTGCCGCATTCCGTCATTATTCCCCCGGCCGTAGATCTTTGTGCCTCGCCTGGGAGCTTATCATCATCACCGATCCTTCGGAATATGAACTTTGGGAGGTGATCTATGTCATCTTTTGATGCTCCCTCCTGCTTCAACAGTTTGCATCGCAAGAACAGTTGTAGAAGACTGTGATGAGTTCAGTAGTCACAAAGGACAGAACAAACATAGCCAAAATGCCCTGAATTCTCGATCCTTTCTTCTCCTCGTTACGTTGTTCAAAGTTCTAGATGATACAACCGATCAAGAACTAAACAAAGTATGTAGAGGAATGGAGGTTAAAGAACGGTACCTGGTCGGCCAGGGCATATAAAATTGCAATTATACATGGGAGACAGCAGCAAACAGCAAGGCCGATCACACAAGCCAGTGCCATGCAGAACAAAACAAAGAAAACATCGAAGCCGAGAAAAATTATACATAACCTGCATGTTTAAAAAAATGATTACAAGTTTCAGAATGTTCAAGATATAGTAAAGACAAAAAAAAAGATATGTGGAGAAGTAAAGGAGGCATACCAATAGAGCTGCGGAGAGTCGTGTGCAAGTGTTTGGCCTCCTGCAGATACCCAGTAGAATCCAATTATCCACCAGATGAATGAGAACATTGTGTTGGCTGATTCTAGATGCTTTGCAGAACTACCGAGAGAACAAATATCCAAAGAAAGAAGAAACTTTAAGGAAATCCAAAAACTGATAAAGAACAAGCAAAATGACATCATCTATTTTCTGAAACAATCGATTGCCACTTGCCAGCCTGATTCATGCCCGGCTTTAAACTGCTAATGACCGTAAATAAAGCCAACATCAACAAAAATCAAAACGAAATCCTAATCGCAGTTCCCTATATTATTTTCCAGTTGGTAACAAAACGGATATCAGTCTTGATTCGTGAAGTACAACATTCTCGGAAAACAGCCGAGGGATACAAAAAGAGTGGCATTGATTTGCCGATGCAATAAGCAGCTGCTTTGATTTATGCACAGAAAACCTAATCCTTTCTTCCAGTTTTATGGTTCACCTAAGTGATTCTGTATCCTTGAGTTCTGGGATTGTGTTCAATCAGTAGAACTACCGGTTGTGGTTCCACGCTGAACTGGATAGTGGATAATTGGCAATAACTTCAACCCCAGTTTCTCGTAATTCAAATTTCAAACAGCAAAAGCCTATGATTCATTATGATTCCAGATCAAACCAGCATTTTCGAGAACCAATCCAACACCAAATCTCTAGTCTCTAACCAAAGAAAGCTAACCGTAAATACATAAACAGAAACTGGCAATATCATACCTGGTGTTTTCATTCTCCTCCAATTGCCCAAGTGGAACGTACTGTTGCGACAAATTCAATCCCTGATTACCATCGTCCGAGGAAGAATATGAAGAAGATGATGATGAAGATCGGTGGGGAGTAGCTCTCCGGCGTCTCCGCCTCCGCCTGTACTCCACGCAAACGCACGCCATGTGTATCAAGCACTGCAGAGCGTAACCCACCACCCAAACCCTCAACGGCATGTTCGGTAGCTCGTCGCGGCTGAGTACCAGAACAGCCACCGCGACCGCCACAAACGCCACATTCCAAACAATGTCTAGGACCACCACGGGCTTCGAGTACGCCCAATCACTCTGCCTCTCCTCCAGCTGCTCCGCCGCGGTCTCCCTCACCAGCATCGACGGCTCACGCATCATCCGCCGGCTCCCAGCGTGGCGGAGCAACCTCGCCGCCTCCCTCAGGCCATTTCTTCTACTGGATCTCTGGCTATCTCCCTCGGATTCGGCGTTCTCCGATCTGGATTCGCCGGAATGAAGGAATGGCGTGGAGTCGATGACGCCATCGGAAGTAGAGCTCCCTACTCGAGAAGACGGTGGAGACGGAGCCAAATCTGCATCTGGAGTAGTCGTCGCTGACATTCTTAGCTTCGATTCTCGATCGATCACTGCCTCGAAAGGGATTTACATTTACAGTCGAGTTTTAACACACGAATTTCCAGAAGTTGGGAGAGAGTGAGAGAGGATAGCGTGTGAAGATTGGAGAAAGCGTTCTGAATTTTACCAAAGTCTCTATTCTCTCCCTCGGTTAAGCAGTAATTTACTTATTTGCCATTCCTCAAAGCTTCTGGTAGATCGGGAAGGCTTTAATTGGGCCTTTAAGGCTTTAACTGCTTTCGGCCCGTATGATTACAAAGTTCTAGATATAAATTAGATAACTTCTACAAACCAAGAAGATAACCGGCCGAACGGCCTCCACCGCCTAACCGGTCTAAACCATATAAATCCATACGTGGACGAGAAGAGAGATATGCAAAGAAATCTTCCCGGTGGTGTTATTATCTGTCCAATCTAACGGAATCTCATTTAAAATTTTCTAATCATCAAAATACATATAAAAATAACCTATGGAAACTTTGTTCACCAAAAAAAACTATGGAAACTTCATTTGTGAGTGTCTTTACCATACATCATACATACATACATACATACATACATACATACATACATACATACATACATACATACATACATACATACATACATACATACATACATACATACATGCATGCACATGCATGCATGCATATATGCATACTTACTCATTTAATTGTATATGTGTTATAAATTTTGTTGACGTGCGTATTTGCATATCACGGAGTCATTTAATGATTACATGTGTCATGTGTGTAATTAAGTTACGTGAGCAGTTAATACCGTCAATATTTATAAAAAAAATATGATAATTTAAATAAAATTTATGTATGTCTAAAAGTAAAAGGATTTATTATTTATATAAAATATTTTACAAAATTTATGTTTTTTCCAGATATGAATAATCTCTATTATTGATAAGAATAATCTATATAAAATATTATTTATAAAAAAAAAAGGGAAAAAGAAAAGACCCTAACTCAATTCCTTCCTTACTACCAGCGTACATCGATTCGATTTTGTTGCCTCTCCTCCTTAGCTACAACCCAAAAAAAAAAAAGAGAGAGCTAAGATTAAAAAAAAAAGGTTCCGACGAAACAATCTCTCAGATTCTCCGGCATGTCATCAACGGAGAGACTCGATCAGGAATCGATCGACACCTTCATGAGCATCACCGGCGCTCCCGAAGCAGTCGCCGTCCGGGAACTCGAGGTGGTTCCGTTATCCGTCTTGATTCTGGTGTCGTTTTTATGTTCAGTTTCCTGATTTTCCTATTCCTGTTTATCTGAGAGTTCAGTTTTTTCTTTTGGTTTATGGAGTCGGTGAATGAAGTGATTGTTCGGTGGACAATCGTTGATTGTCGGATGCGTATTCCTTTCGGGTATTGAGTTAATATTGATGCGTGCGCTGTTAATCGAAGCCGATTGTGTAGAGTTTTAAGTTTTAGGGTTATAACTTATTCGATTTCTTGGAGGGTTTATGCCGACTGGTTCGCCACTTCCCCTGAATTCTCACGCTTATTCTATTTGATACATGTTCATTGATGATTGAATAAGTTTCTATTAGTATACTTTACCAAAAAAAAAAAAAAGTTTCTATTAGTATTACCTGAGTGTCAGTGGATTCTCTTCCGCGTATTAGCTTGAAGGGTTTATTGATTTTGAATCGATCGTAGAGTTATATGGTGTATGGTTGTTTTGATATAGAAAAAGGTTTGTTTTTTTTTTCTGTACGGATAAAAGTGATGAGATGAAATCAAAGAAAATTTAGATTTTCATGTTGATATTTGAGAAGATTCTCAGCAATCGCTCTTCTCTATAATCAGTTGCCTCGTTACTGATGGACTTGTATTTCTTTGGTGTATCTTATTTCTTATCCATCCCTTTTGCCAAATCTCTTTTCTGTACGTGGTTGCAGGAGCATCGTGGTGAACTCAACAGAGCTGTTAATGCATATTTCAGCAAAGGAGATCGAAATATGTATGTCATACTACTATTATATGCAACCTAATATCACCCTTCTCCGCGTAATTATCTGATGGGCATGGCATGTTCTGAATTTTCATCTGTGCAGGGTACCTGAAGCATCGGTGAATGTCCCTCAGGATGATGCAATGGATATCGATGATGATGATGATGTGATTCCTTCTACACGAAGAGAACCTCCTCTATCGCTTCTCTCTGCTGCTAGAACAATGGGACCCTTTTCGCTTCTGGAGTCAAATTTCGGTAGAAGTTTTTTCGAGAATGATCCTCTCGTGTCACATGCACCATTTGTTACGCATCCAAGAGAGGTCAGGCAGATACCGATAGAGGTTAAGGATAGCAGTGAGCCATCTGGTCGGTCAAGCGACGCTCCTACTATCGAGGATGTGTCCGGGACAGCGCATGCTCAGGGGTCAGCTGTCCAAGGGACAGTCATTATAGACGAAGAGAGTGATGAAGATATTCATGCTGCACCAAGAGGACAAAGTGGGCATGTGAGAGCCACCGTACCTGCACGTGATAATTTTCAAGAGTACAATGATATAGAAGAAGAAATGATCCGGGCTGCCATTGAGGCTTCGAAAAAGGAGGCAGAGGTAAAGCTTGCGAGGGAGTTGGTAATGTTGATCGTTTTTATCTTGATCAAGCATTACAAATGTAGTTGTTTTTTTGGTTTTTGTTTTGTTTTGTTTCTGTTCACCTTGTACTTGTAGAAATAAATGTAGTTAGTTGTTCAAATTTTAATACAGGGATCGAGAAATCCATCTACTGGAAATGATGACATAGCTGAAAGTGCCACAATGTCCTTGAAGGTATGTGAATGTTTCTTTCCCTTTTTTTTTCCACTGCCTTCTTATTTGGTGGTTTCCTTTTAACTTTTTGATGAATCCAGTCTGCGGAGGAAGAAGAAGTTTTGCGGAACCAAGGCTCAAAGGCTTCAATATCAGAAGGAGGAACTTCTAAAGTGACTGTACCCGAGCTGCAGAATACACAAACCGTGAATGGAAGGTTCTAAAGTGTCGGTCCTCTCTTGTAACAGTGTGATCGTTTTTACCTGTGTGAACAGACTTGTAGTTTGAAAGCCTGCTTGGGAGCAGTTTGTGTTGTGCTGTCAGAAATCAAATCCTAACAGATTGTCTTCTTTTATCTGTCCAGATCGGCATCACCTGGCTCACCGTTGGAGGATGACTCTGATGATGTCGAGGACCAACCTCTTGTTAGGCACAGGTCGAGGCATGGGGCCTCTGGCTCTCAGGCTCCACATAACTATGACCATTCTCGCAGCCCTGAAGTAGAACATGCAAGTAGCCATCCACCCGATAGTGGTAATGGTTTTGCTTCTGAGGTATAAAAAAACATGTTCCATTTTCTATACTGCTCACAGACTGCCTATATAATCTCGAACTGAGATTCCTATAGTGGTTTCTCGATATCCAAGTTATAATAATTTTGGCATTTGCTCTGAAGTGGGGAGGTATCTCTTCCGAGGAACATGATGAAGCTGTCATGCTCGAGGCTGCAATGTTTGGTGGCGTACCTGAGAGTGGGTACAATTTCCCTTATGCATATCGCCAGCACAGGGCATTCCGCCCGCCATCGCCTTCATTGACGGCTCAGAGATTGATACGAGAACAACAGGTCGGGAGCAGTATCATTAATCGCTGGTAGAAATCCTTTTTTTTTAAGCAAGTGTCGGTGATGACAGTAAAGCCTTCTCGAACTATTAAACTCTTTGCAGGATGACGAATATAATGCATCACTCCAAGCTGACAGAGAGAAAGAGATGAAAGCCATCAGGGAAGCTGAGGCTCGTCGGTTTGAGGAAGAAGCTGCCAAAAAGAGAAACGAGGAAGAAGCTCGGAGAAAACTGGAGGAGGAACAGGTGATGCTTAGGTTTAAACCATATTCACGAATTCTTGGGAATCTTATGAAAACCCTTTTCGGGGTATCGAAAATACGGATGAATGTATCATGCGGTTATTGATAAACATGCTTGTTCACCAATCATTTCCTCTGTTTTTCTTTTACGGTATATGTTCCCCCAGGAGCTGGAGAGACAACTAGCTGCAAAAGAAGCGTCTCTGCCTCAGGAACCGCCCGCAGACGACGAAAATGCCATGAACCTTCTTGTCAGGATGCCCGATGGCAGCCGTCGTGGCCGCCGTTTTCTCAAATTTGATAAACTCCAAGTAATTTTTTTCCTTTAAAAAAAAACTAGTTTCATTTCTCTCTTACATTACATCCTGCAGTTGCACAACTATAGTTGGTGGTACTTGATTTTTTTTTTTTAAAAAAAAAACCCGTTCTTGTCTGTCTTGCAGTCTCTTTTCGACTTTATAGACATTGGCAGAGTGATGAAGCCCGGCACTTACAGACTGGTAAAAACTTCCTGTCTCTTCCTCCCCTTCCTTAACAGATATTTCATTTCAACAAAGCCTTATTCGTATATGGTCTGGATATGATATGAACACAGGTGAGGCCATACCCAAGGCGTCCTTTCAGCCAAGGGGAAAGCGAGTTGACTCTGAGCGATGCCGGGTTGACTAGCAAACAAGAAGCACTGTTCCTGGAGCTGATTTGAAGTTAAATTTTTTAATCCCTTCAATTCGAATCATAATGGTACCATATATATATGAAGCAGCTCTACAACTTTTTTATATAATAATATCTTAAAGTTTTTATTTATTTATTTATCATTCTTCTCCATAAGATTCAGGTCCCTGCTCTTTCCTTTTTTGGTGGCTTTCAATATCTTAACTTTAAGGCATATGCTGAGCTTAGACCGTCTTCTTCCTTTTGGGTGGTGGGTTTGGCCTTTTATATATATAGTAAGGGAGTTTCAGTTGTATATCTATTTTGGTCACTTTTCAGTTTTTATTAGGTGATCTCGCATTTCCAATATTACAGAACTTTTTTTTACATAATATAGAGAAAATAAAATAAAATAAAGAAATATGTGTGTATGTATATATATATATATATAACGAATACAAGTAATTGAAATTTTTATTAAGCAAGAAGGATCTATTAGATTAAGAAATTCCCACAAAATCTCGTTTTTTTTTTGTTTTTTTTTCTTTTAATTATTTGTGGCGATTCTGCATACCCGCAAGACAATAATAGAATAAGAGAAGATGGGGGAAAATAGGGAACAAGAAGCAATTTGAAGAAGAACATATAAAGCATAACTGTACTTGTATATGTTTGTGGACATTAATAATAGGGTGATAAAAGAGGGAGGGGGACAAATGAGGAAAAAGGTTCCAAGTTGATAGGGGAAATGACAACATGAATGAGAGAGAGAGATGCAAGTTGGGACATAACTGCATGAATATTCTTTGCATATGATCAAAACTTGTGTAACATAAGCATAAGATAACATTATTGGGCGTTGGGGCTTTGTTAGGTTTCTTGACATTTTTTGCACCTATCAGTTGGTTACACCTTTATATTATAATATAATTTAATATTTTGCTTATCAACTCCTACAAATATTAGAAATTCACTTGCCATGTGTGTGAGCGCGCGGGGAGAGGAAATTTTTTCACCAAAAATGGTACTGCATTTTTTGGAGAAAATAACGTAAATGGGGCATTCCATATTTTTAGATTTCAAAGGTGAGATTTTAAAATTCTATTGCACATGTGAAACAAACAAAATTGTATTCATACAAATTAATTTCACGTATCTGAACTAAAAATTTGTGTATTTTGATTTTTCTTACACTCCAAATTCCAAATGAGTTTTGGACGTTTGTCAAATGTATTCTCAAAAAAAAAAATTCTCTGCGATCTTTATTTCTACTATTTTTTTTATTTTATAAATTTTAGATGCTAGAGAAAAGTTTGAAAATTATAATAACACATTTTGTAAATTTAAAAATAAATTTATCAAACAAAAAGTTTAGAAATTTGTTTTACACCATTTTACATTAATAATTTTTTCCCAAACGAGGAAAAAATATTAGACGACGGCTAAAAATTAAAATACAAAATTAGAAGGGAAAAAAAAGGAACAAAAAGAGAGAGAGGAAAGCGGGTCGGGTAAACGGGTCAAAGCCGACATGCTAGGCGGGAACGGTGGGTGAGGGGGAAACGGGTCATTCACGGAGTCGGCAGTCGCTAACGACGACTCTGACGGACTCCGTCATCGTCAACCTTCTTCACTAAAGTTTAAATCTCCACCGTTTCACGTGCCCCCGTTTTCTGCGCGTGCTCTCACGCGCATGGACCACCGCTTTTTGTCTTTTTTGTTTTTATTTACCTCTTCACTGTTCCTTTTGCACAAGAATCCCCCGGCAATGCAACCAAAAGGCATCTTGTCCTCCATTGATTATGAACTCCCATACATACATACATACATACATACATACATACATATAATATATGTGTGTGAGTATTTGTGTCTCAACAAATAGAGGGCAATCAATGTTTTCGGTGGAAGCTTTCAAACAATATGTATATATATATATATATAACAATAAATCTGATAAAATATAATTACAGTTATGAGCTCGTGTATTTTTTTTTTTTTTTTACTTCAGACGTGAAATAAATGTATTTAAATATAATAACAATCTTCATTTCATTCGTGGAACACTATATTCCAAGTCACAAAATATTATTGAGGATATAAAAATATCAACTCCAAATATATCAAGAATCCGAAGTAATTACTTAATAATGCTATGGATTGGTGGTATTCCTCACGGGGATGGGCGAATATGTATACAAACATAATCTCATATACATATACATATATATATATATATATATATATCAAGTGGGTATGATAATATAACAAAAAAAATTGGGCAGAATATTGCAATGACATCAAATATATAACAGAAGTAACATTACTTGACTTCACAAACAAGCGAAGCTAAAAACTAACTGAATACAAACAATGCGCACAATCTGCAAAATATATAAAAAAAAAAACAAATTAAAACAATGTTCAATTTCCTACACTACAATTTTCGATTTCTCTCTAAAAACCCTATCTCAAAAATTACAAAGTGTACAAGAAACAAATTTGTTAGCCATACTACATTATATCAAAACCCTAATAACAGTTCCCATCCTTCTCTATATCCACTGAATCCAACAGAAACGGCGTCGTGTTATTACCACCGCCGTTATCTATTACCTCCTCGTCATTTGACATTGTCAGCTCCTTAGCCCTATGGACCTGAACCTCCCAGTCGGTCCGAGCCAATGCGATCAACATGGCGACCAGGCACGAGCCTTGAGCGGCCAGAAGGCCGAGCCATAGCCCTTTGAAGTCGAACCCGCCGAAGAAACTTAACCAAACGGCTACAGGCATTCCGACAAAGTAGAAACAGCACAAGTTTATGTTCGCACCCAACTTAGGTCTCGCACTTCCTCTCAAGACACCGCATCCTGTCGTCTGAGGACAGTTCCCGAGCTCGCACAGTCCGATGATCGGTAGAACCGCCGCTGTCAAGGAGATGATCTCGCCGTCGTCCGTGAACAGTTTCGCCCACACGTTCCTCACCAATGACGTGAAAAACAATGCCGAGAATCCGAATACGATGCTCATGTAGAGGCCGGTTCTGGCCGAAGTCTTGGCCTTTTCCGGCTGGTTTGCTCCGAGCTCGTTTCCGACGCGTGTCGAGACTCCGAAGCCGAGAGAAGACGGGAAAATGTAGATGAGGGCAGTGGTTTGGATCAAGATTCCCATGGAGGCGACGGTTGCTTGAGGGTTAAGTAATAATCCGCAGAGCAAGATCATGATTTCGTACCACCACCACTCTAAACAGACGGAGATGCAACTCGGGATAGCCAAGTTAAGCAAAGATCTCCATCCTTTGAGGCAATCTGACGAAATTCCGCACCAAGTTTTCTCGTAAACGCCGGAGAATACGACGAAGATGATGAGAAATCCGACGAGGTTGAAGTTGCTCCATACCACGGCCAGGGCCACGCCTTTAAGGCCGAGGCCAAGGAAAACTACGAGGAGGTAGTTTATCGGGACGTGAAGAAGAACGGCGAAGAAAGCGGAGTACGTGAGAGGAAGAGTGATCGACTGCGTCCGGAGATATATACGCAGAGGATGCAAGAAGGATTGCAGGAAGAGATCGGGGAGAGAGAAAAGGATGAAGATCTCGGCTTTGCTGGCGATGTCGTCTTCCTGTCCGAAGAAGACAAGGATCTTCTTCATGTTGAGCCAGAGGAGAGAGATGGGGAGGGAACAGAGGAGAAGCAGGAGGGTGGTTCTCTGCAATGCGAGGCCCAGAAGCTTGAATCTTTTGGCGCCAAAAGCTTGGCCGCAGATGGGTTCCATGCCCATGGCGAGGCCGGAGAGGACGGAATAGCCGGTGATGTTGGCGAAGCCGAGGGCGAGTGAGCCGCCGGCGAGGGCGGAGAGGTCGCCGAGACGGCCGAGGAAGAGCATGGAGATCATGGAGCGAGAGTAGATCAATAAACCGGTCAAGATCATCGGGAGAGATATTTTGGCGATGGATTTAGCTTCTTGGATCGAAGACAGGAGATGGGTCGGTGTCGGATTCGGATCTTTCCGGTGATCTGTCTGGTTCTTTAAGATCAAAGAAGCCGCCATGTTTGCCCGTGTGTTCCTCTGTTCGAGAGAGAGAGAGAGATTGAATTGAGAAGTGTAGCGTACCGAACGTGTCAACGAATCGAGAGGAGAAGGTGGGTTTTTATTTTGGATTAATTAAAATAATTAATGGCGAAAATATGTTAATTTGCAGGGGGGGAATGAATAAGGTTAAATGGATGGTAACGCAAATGGCGGTTTCATATGGGCCGACGAGAATGTCATTGTTAGACTCGTCTTCCCATTATTGATCACGTGTTCTTTCTTTTCTTTTTTTATTCATTTATTTTTTGCAAATTACAAACTTCTGTAAAAAAAATTACGTTTTTTTTTTATATGTTACATCCAGAAAACTTCTATATTAATTCAAGTTTATGTAATGCATACGTAATTATCACGTTAACCATATATTTCTTGTTGGCTTGCTATTTTTAAATTTTATATTTGTGTAGTTTTTGGTATTTGGGCATCAATAATCTTACAGAATTGTTTAAAAATAAATTAAAATTTTCAAAACAATCAATGTAAAAAACATCAACACTGAGTCGTTAAGCACAACGGACAATTTCTACACATAATTTTTTTTTATAAAAAAGCTCGTTTATTTCAATTTTAATATTGTCAACGACAAGTGTCAAAGGACTCTTGAATATATTCAGCAATTTCATAGTAAATTGAATATCCTATGGTTCTCTTGTCTTCTCGTGTGAAACAGTTTGAGACTTCATTAATAGAACGCCGAAACTTAATTGTGTTTTATATGCATCTGTTACTGCTTAAAAGTCGTTACTAAGAAGATTAAAAAATGTCTAAAATGTTATATTCATTCGGTCGACTATTATAATTCAGGAATAGTCCCTATGAATTAATAAACATGAGAAAACAAATTAATCGAGTTGTTAAAATTTAGTAGAAATCATTTGACATTAAATTTATTGGATGAAAATCGGATGAATCGTCATAATTGAAGGAGAATCGATTATTTCCCATTCCTTTTAATATATACAAAATTGTATTTTTTTTATATACAATTTACCATTTTAAAATAGCTGTAAAGTTTAATACCAAAGTTGTTAAAAATATCGGACAGAATTATTGATGCATGCGATAAAGCGTGAGAATTGTAAGAGAATATACTCTATTTTATCTCTTGATTATTGATCAACGTTATAAATCATGGACCATTCTATATATAGACGAAAAATATTTTATTTAGAAAAAGTTTCTTTCAATAACGTATTCTTTTTTTTTTTTAAATGATACAGAATCCCGAGTCTTTATATGTAATAGAATATATATGATGTCACATGCTTCAACTCGATAGGACGTGGACCATCTTATATAGCTTGGCTTTGTATGTTTAAGGATGGGACATTAGAATGGCCTATTATAAAAAATACCATCTATTTGCTATTTTGATTTCAAGACATACATTTTTTCAATTACAACTCTGTAATCCATGTAATCAGAAATTTAATTTTGGTTATATTGGTCATAACGTTGAATTTATCGTATTTTTATCAAATGATTAGTAAGATATATAAAGTATAAATATAATAAATACGTGTAATTACCATAAATTTAACGTTATGACCACATAGGATCACAGTTAGAGAAATATATATCTTGAAGTCAAAATAATAAAGGGAGAGTATTTTTTTATATAATGTCCATTAGAGTATATTATAAAGATATATTGGATTTTATGGTATAGTTTGGTTTGAATATTTTCGGTTTGATCTAGGATTTGTGAGTGAGTTATTTGGTTTATTTGAATTACTTGGTTTGTTTGAATTATTCTTGAACAATATTAACTCTATACAAAAAAAAAGGAAAATATATTAAGTCGTTAATTAGAGACATTGGTATAGTCGTCTCTAATCGTATAAGAGAGCAACGGTCATATCCATATGATTTTATGGAATTGTGTAGCTTTTTTTTTTCAGATGATTTCTTTGTTTTTGTCGTATGGAGTATTAAAATTATTATAGATGAATATTTAAATTTTAAATTAAATCAATCAAATTTAAATGAGTTTAAATCAAATAAAAAAATAAGTAGGAAGTTGAATTAAAGATCGTTACAACTAATAATAATATTTTAATGAAATCGGAAACAAATGTATATAGAGATGGTATAAACGTTGATTAAAATATTTTTAAAAATAGGAAGAAAAAAAAAACAAGAAAATAAGAAAACCGAAAAGCTAAATGTTCTTGATGTGATGATCCGGCCATGTCCAGATCGGAACCCTTTGTTACACAATTCTTGATTTACTTATATATATATATATA